ATTTTGTCGGTTCGATTCGCCCGTAATCATCTCGAGAGTGAAGGCCATCTGTAATACCAAGACTACCTGCAATACACGTACTTTGTCTTGAGCGTGATTCTCACAATCAATGTTTCAAACAAAGAACTGCGGAATAATGGGAATATTAAGTCGATCTGGTGTAACATTCGGGATATTTTTCGGATGAAATAAGTTCGTTTTCAGTCGTCCTGTAGCGAGCACACTGATCGTAGTCTTGGACTAAGCCAGCTCCATTTCCATTGCAGTGCCCATCCTGCCGGACTACCTGCACCAGGCGGACTACGACTTCGCGATGGCTGCGGCGGCGGCGGCCACGCCTGCCGCTGGGCCGTCCCCGCGGGCGGCGGGGGCGGAGGGGCCAGCGACGGTGCTTCTGGTGCGGTCGGAAGCCGCGGCCGCGGGCGCCGCCCCGCCCAACTGCTCGCACGGCGCTGCAGATCTGCGCGACTTGAGGTATACGCGCGCTGGCGCCTCACGCACGTTGAACCGGCTGAGATGGCTCAGTGACAATAGACGTTCCACTGCAGCGTGTAGCATCTCATGACTTCTAGGCTGTCCGGGTGACACCGCGTCGTTGGCAGAGAGGCCGACGTTTCGCCTGTCATATCGCAGGCTTCTTCAGTGTAGTGACACGGTAAAGCTCCGCCTACGGTGTTATTTCTTCTTCATCCCTACACCTCAATAGGAAGGCCAGTTGGCACAGGAGGCGTGCTCTCGAAAATTTGTAAATTTCTTGGTGTCTTGAAATGTTCTCCCCGTTGAGACGCCTACGTGTACGTGTCGCGTCTCAGTCGTCAGAGCGTCACCGTTATGGTTTAATTTACTTCCCGTCGATCCCTTCTTCTTTGAGAAAATAAAGGTCTTTACAGTTGTTTGCAGATGTTTTTAGGTTTTGTGGTATTCCTGTGTCTAACGAAATCATTGAAAATTGTAGACCATAAATAAAACACGGGCCAAGGGTCACAATGTGACAATTTGCATTTTATGCTGAAAAGCGTGGTAACAAGTGCAATGCCGTGTAAAATGAGTTATCTGAAATTCTGATTCTTAGGGTTTCAGATTGTCGCCACTAATCGGCGCATCTGTCAATCTCGGGACCTTTTCAAACAGTTTTTCTTAATTATCTCGGAATTCCATTTTTGGCCCTTAGTACGGTCTTCACCTACTGTCTACCTTGCCTAATTGGAATTTAGTAAAATTGATTCTATTTCAATAATTTACATTGCGACTACAAATTAAAAGAAAACTGTACAGCCCCTAATCATCTGAGATGTGTCTCTGGTTTTGTTAGACACACAGAAATACTGGAAAACTAAAAAAAAATAGTCAGTTTCGATTTTTACAAAAAACTGTAAATATTTGATAATCTCGTCTTTTTTATACGTGTGTTGCACTCCTTACGAAAAGCTGAGGTCACGCGACAGCAAGGCTCCAAGGAAGAGGCCTATTGTAATTCAATAGTTGCTATTCGTGTGTTGATTTACGGAAAATATTTTATATTATATTTTTTACATTTATTTCTGGTACGTAAGAAACTCTCGTATATTATACTATTGTGATATTCGTGATGTCTGCTTAAAAAATAATGTAATGCAATTTCATACGGGAGTAATATATTTCTTGTTCTTGGGCGAACTGCAATCCACATATTCGAAAACCATTTTGTGCGGTTTGGTTCAGCGCATTCGCGTTGCAGCAGGTCACTCATTTGTACTATATCTGTTTCGTTATCATTTGTTATTCGTAATAATGACAATGTTGAAATGCTGTCAAAAATGTTCTATGCATTGGCAAAATGGCGAATCCACCGTAAATACGCTTAATTCGCAGCTCTCGGCAGACCATTGATGGTGGACTCCGGGGAATTCGAGGAATGTTACTCAATTGCAACGAGTAGCTGACGTGTGTAAACACGGACAAACTGTGTCGCCGGAAGTGCTTAAACTTCATTTTTCCAGCGAGTCCTGCGGGAATAGTGGCGTATGCAAATATTCTCAGCTACGTTTTGTCAGGCACAACCTAAAGCTATTATGAATCCCAATGAAAGGAACTGACGACTGCGTGATTATTAGAAGGAACCGTGTGCTATATTCCTGAATGTTTGACTCTTTTAGTTTTTCGAAAATAATGGGTTGCGCTGGGATTAGTTAAAGCTTCCAATGATTCAGTCTAATAATGGATTTTGATTGTCGAAGATCGAAATAATCTATTTTTGTCCTGGGATTGATGTAGGCTATATAAAGTTTCTTAAAATCTATATTTCAATATAGTAAGCATTATAGCGTGTAAAAAAGCTCTATTATTTCATGACCAGATTTCTTTTGTCACACAAAAGAAGTGTAACAATCGTTGGTTTCGATGTAACTAATAAATATGTTTCGATAAAAGCAATAATTATTTTTTGTAATGGAATTATAAAGTGGAGAAGCGCTATGATGAAAAGTTTATAAGTTATATTTAAAAATATTCATAGAGAAAACTAATCAAACATAATCGTAGTTACTAGTAATTTATTTAGACTGATTACATCTAATGTGAAATTTTGTGGAATTGAGATCGGATTCGTAAAGTCTTCACAACAAAAGTGTTTTAATAATCCATGGTCCACCACCTTTCTGGGATGAAAAATTAAATATAAAATACATAGAACCGAAAATAATGGTGCATTAATTTTTTTACATAGTGGATAAAAATCGATGCTAGATTATTTATCGAACAAAGCTTAGAGGACTTTTTCAGTTCTATTCCGCAAAGTAACAAAATATATTACGATACATATATTGTAAATAACTAACATGACCAAATACGATTTGTTAACTGATTGACTGATGTTTCCTGGCACATCAACCGCAATTGTTATTAGTTTCGTTGCTGTAGTGAATGTTTTGTTATGAAAGGTGGCCGCGTTCCTTCCTCATTAGATGGTGAGATACGACGTTGACATACACGAAGACTTGCGGGCGATTTCTACTTCCAGCGGCGGAATCGAACCAGGCAGGAAAAGCTGTATGCTCCCAACTGGTCTCCCGGCATTTGTGGTAGTGCAGTGCGTGTTTGTGTAAGTAAGGGGTGGGGATAGGATAAGGAAGAGGAAGGAAAGATCGCACACGGTCGGTGGCCCGTTTTATAGGACACTGCTTCGGCAATCGCCTGGTATTGATCGGAGAAAACTGCCGACCAGAACAGCCAGTCGCTAGAATACTCCTTCATACAGCTGCTGAATTCAACCTGTTGAAACTCTGCAACCGTAAGACCTCTCAGATGAGAGTCTGCAGAGACAACAACAATGCTGTCTGTAAGCTGACTCTATCGACCACGTAAAAACGTGAAATACAAAACAGCAAATACAAAACATCGATGTTAAAAAAAATTGGCTTTAAAAATGATGAATTACACCGATAATTTTATAAAAACATCAATGAATTGAAAAACATCGACATCTATGACGCTTCCGTGGTGTCTGCGTGACATGTGTGCTAACGATGCGTGATCGATGTCGATGTTTTCAAAACATCGATGTTTTTGTATAAACATCGATGTTTTAAACCGGGAGATGTGTCTAAGGTCATCAACTGATGTCACTGCAGTACCTCTGACCTTGAGGTCCTAGGTTTGAGTCCCGACAGTGGTAGGATTTTCGACAGTAGTTTGTCAGCTGGGTCGAATTCAGTCGCTGTCTGAAGAAGAAATCTAGCAGCTGGTTGCTCTGATCGGTAGTTTTCCGCAATATTGCCGATCAACACTGGAGCAGAACGCCAGTAACAAAAGGACCACGGACTGCTCGCGATCTTTCCTTTCTCTTCCTTCTCTTATAATCACCCATTACTTTATAAAAGCCCTACATGCCCTACATTACCAAAAGTGCTGGGAGACCGGTTGGGAGCTTAGATCTTGCCCCGGCTGGGACGGTGCCAAGCTAATGGGAGCTACCTGACTAGGGAAATCTCTCCTAGCCGTCGGTAGGTCGGTGTCGGATTTCGCTATCCAGCAGGGGATGACCACCGCCACCTCCCGAGGGAAAAAAAGCATTCACTACGCATATGGGTCCAATAACCTGAGAAGTTGTAGTGCCAATCAATTAATCAATCAATCAATCAATTGAACAATTAATCAATCAATCGATCGATCAACCAATCAATCGATCGATCTATCAATTAACGTATCAATTAACGTTTTAAACATCGATATATTAAAGTGGATGTGCTGAAAGTCGATGTTTTGTTGTCGATGTCGCATCACTAGTGGGTGGTGTGTGTGTGTGTGTGTGCAGCCTGGTGGCGCCCGCGGCGGGCGGCGGTGCGGGAGAGGCGCTGCTGTCGGAGTCGTCGCGCGTGGGGCTGCTGCTGGCGTCGAAGGCGCTGGTGCAGCTGCTGTGCAACCCGCTCGTGGGGCTGCTCACGAGCCGCGTGGGGTCGCGCGTGCCGCAGCTGCTGGGCAGCGCCAGCCTGCTCGCCGCCGCCCTCGGTGAGCACGTCTCGCGCACGCACACACACGCGCCGGGCAAAAGGAAGACGATTTGCACAGACATTTAGGTCGGCCGACGACAGACGTTTTTCTGCAATGTGCCGCATTCGTTCAAACACACGGCGGCATTGAGGGAATGTTGGTGAGGTGTTGTTAACATATTTAAATGGTGAAATAACTAGATTTCTTCGTCAACTACGTCAACTTCAATCTTCGTCAACTCACCAGATTTATTCAAACAGACAGCTTTCGACGGCTTTGCCGATATAAGTCTACAAATAATATGAATAAAAACTCAAAATATTTAAAAAATATGATAATAGAAATAATATAATTGATAAAAATATTGAAATTAACATAAGTACAAAAATGCCAGGATTAATACAAATTATTGTATTTCAAACAGGAAGGAAGAAAGGAGGTAATAATAATTACTATTATTATTATACTTAATACTTAATATTCTTTATCTTAGTCTTTATCAACATTTTAAAAGGTTTGGAGAACCGAGATTCTAGACAACGAATCATAACTTCAGGGATACGCTTATTTATTCAATTCAACTCAATTGGATGATCAATATTTCTATTATTTTTTTGCAAATAATTAAGTTCATGTCTTAAATTATCATTTTTTTCTCAAATCTCTGTACAAACTCTTTTAAAGAACGTTTGTCAGAGCTAACTCCCTTCAGCCCCATCTCTACACGCCCCTTGCGGCGGCGCCCATGTAGAGCCAACTCGGCCGACACGCGACCGTGCACTGGCTGACACACACTCCAGTCGAAAACCTCTCAAGCGTGCCCAAACTCATCGGAGACCCTCGTGCACACAACACACCCACGCCATCCTGGGCGCAAAGCTTTTGCAGTTTCACACGCGCAAAGCCCTGCGACACTTGTCGCTGGCTCGCCTGGCCATTTTCGCTACCCTCATCTCCACACCTTGCAAGTACCTTGCATCTCCATACCTTTGCGTCTCTGCTAAAGGAAATCTACACAACCTGTGACGCTACACAATCACAGTGGTACAGGATGTGGGAGGGAAGGGCGTTCAACTGTTCTAATGCAGTTATTATTTCTGATACCCAAACATGACCATAGCCCACCCTCGACATGGGATGCGTTTTGGGGCATCTAAATGTCTCTAACTTTGGCGCCGAACGCTATCAACTGCTTTTTATCTGCCATAATCGCATCGAAGTTCTAGACACAACAAAGATTTCACTCATACTCTATTCAAGTGGAATGGTAAGGATGTAAATTGTGGGAGGGATAATTTTGTCGGACCTTTATCCAGGGTTCTTTCATACGATATACGCGCCACCTGTCAAACGAGGATTTTCACTCCGAATATCCATCACCTCAAACGGCTTTAAATCCGCTAACACATGTTAAGGAAGCTAACTTTTACACTACTGCAACAGGCATTGTGCGAAGATCCGTATTTGTGAAGAGCTTTTTTGAATATATTTTTGTACGTGAATCCCGCCTGTATGGCACTCAGAAGCCAAATATAAAGTGTGTCGTTCAGTCCTCCCGTGGAAACAGTGTTCGTTGGAACGGAGCTTTGCTTTGGTCCAAAGCTAACGTTCTACAACAAAGAGCAGCCTGCAGGCGCAGTGAGTTCTGAGCTGGCCGCTGTGTGTGCACGTGACTGCGGCGCCTGCAGCGTTCGCCGTGGGACAGAGCTTCGTGGCGCTGCTGATGGCGCGCAGCCTGCAGGGCGTCGCCTCTGCCTGCGTCGGCGTCTCGGGTGAGCTCCACACCCACACTACTTTGCTTTGATTGCTACACTACGACTACGCCTGAATTTTTGGGTTGTGCCACTAACGCAACTCACGACCTATAAGTGTTTTTAATTTTCCGTAAGTGTTATGGAGGTTTGGTATGTAGGCGTGAGCCTGGTGGCGGGGCTGTTCCCATATCAAACATTATATGTGTTTTTAATTAGCCGTTAGTATGATTGAAATTGGACTGACTGAGTTGAACTAGGCATGAGCCTGGTGACATATTCCTCGATTAAACATTATACGGTTTTTAATTGGCCATTTGTGTTCACTGAGCGTAGGAATGAGCCTGGTGACAAAGCTGTTCCTGGATGAAACGGGAAAATAATTTTAATTGGCTGTTAGAGTAATGGAGGTTATCTGTGATTGGGCATGAGCCTGGTGAGGATATGTTCCTGGATCAAACATTATACGGTTTTTAATTGGCCGTTAGTGTTCTGGAGGTGGACTGTGCGTCGCATAAGCCGGATGGCGGAACTGTTCCTGAATCCATTATATTGCTTTTAATTGCCTGTGAGAGTAACGGAGGGTGATTGTGCCTGGTGGCGGAACCTGGTGCCTGGATCAACCATTATATTGTTTTTAATTGTCTGTTAGAGTAACGGAGGTTGACTGCGTAGGCATGAGCCTGGTGGCGGAGCTGTTCCCGGGCGCGGCGGCGCGCTCGCGCGTGATGGGCGCCGTGCTGGGCGCCGCCGCCACGGGGGTGCTGCTGGGCTACCCGCTGGGCGGCGCGCTCTACCAGCTGTCGGGCGGCAAGGCGGCGCCCTTCCTGCTGCTGGCGGCGCTGCTGCTGCTCCTCACAGGTGCGCGCCGTGCCATCAGCTGATGTCTCTGCAGTGCCTGTGATTGGAAGGTCCAAGGTTCGAGCCCCGACGGTGGCCGGATTTTTTGACACAAGCTAGATAGCTATGTCAATTCCTGTTGTTGTCTGGTGAAAAATTCTATCCGCTGTCTGCTTTGATCGATAGTTTTCCGTGGTTTCGCTGATCAATACCAGGCGAATGTCGGAGCAGTTCTCTATCAAACGGACCACGGACCACGCGCGATCATTCCTTTCTCTTACTTCTACTATCCTCACCCCTTACTTACACACTTCTACATTCACATTCACTACAACACCACGCATGCCAGAATACCGGACGGGAGACTAGAGCTTGTCTCGGCTGGGGTGGTGTCCCGGGTATGAGAGATACGTGGTTGGGGAAAACGCGGCTAGTCGACGGTAGATTGGCGCCTGATCTCACCATCCAGCGTGGAAAGATCAACGCCTCTCACGGTAAAACATGTTCTACACATACGGGAATAATGATTTTAACGTGCCGGGAATCACTAATCAATCAATCAGTACCAATCGAGCTCCGCAGGCCAACACCACGGTTGGTTCATTAGAAAATACGCGCGCCTCAACTGGTGTGGGCATTTGTCTCGTAAGTGAAGTGCATGTGATCGGTGATTCCTCCCCGCCACATTGTTTCACTGACCTTAACTGGAACGCCAACTGCTACGGCCGTTGCTATCGTCAGTGTTGTTTTTCATCGAGGGGCGGTCATATTCCTCTCGAAAAACGAATTAAAGGGAGTTTCATATATTTCATTTCAAAAGTGAATAACGCAGCGCAAGGTACTTTGAGAATTGCAAAATGTAATAATTATTTTTCCTCTCCAGTAATGCAGCTGGCGTGCCTGAGTTTTAAGTCACAGGAGCACGTAAGTGTTAATAAATTGGCTCTTTGTTCTAATATGTAAATACATAAATGTGTAGTTTAGTGTTTGTTCAAATATTTGTTCCTCACATATATCTTCGAAATGTTTAGTACACTTTTTATGTAATGTAAATGTAATTAGGCATTATAGATAAGTAAATTATCATCCTCCCTGAACCTTAAATTGCGCTATGAGAAAATTAGAATCGAGTTAGAAAGCCATCACGAGTACCTGTAAAAACGTTTTATCTATTTGTTTTAAAAAACTTCACTCCGAAGAAAATATTTCAAAATACACCCACAGGATAGTTAAGTATTCCTCGACGTTATCTTTTGTTTTATGAGAAGCGATGAGGCAAATCGGAGCGAAAATATTCACATAATTCAAGTAACTCAAATGGAAAATGACTACCAGTTCAGTAGAGATAAGCAGTCCGTCGGTCCATTCTACCTGCTCTCCTCTTCCAGACACACGACGCTTCGCAGCGCTGGCACCACCTGCTCACGGACGGCAGAGTGCTCATCACAGCGGGGGCCATCCTCGTCTCCACGTCGGCCATGGCCATCCTGGAGCCTTGCCTCCCCATATGGCTAATGGATACCATCAAGCCCCAGGTAGAGCAGGATTGCAACTACTTAGTCTATTAATTTACTAACTAAATTATACTACTTAGTCTGTAAATTGACCCCATATAATTTTGTTTCTTGTAAGTAAACGAGCGGGCGAACTAACTAGTGAACGAACGAACAGCTTCCAGACGACACGCTCGCTCTCTAGGTGAATGTTCGGTTAGGAGAAACTGAGACCACAAGGAACTGCCCGGGTAGAAGAAATTAACAAACTCTATATTTTTGTGAACGAAAATTTTATCTACAAACACCTTTTTATTAAATTCCATGATATCTAGAGGGGACGACCACTTATGCCAAGTGCCCCGTATATCGGGTTCTGTGTTGTGCAATTACAGATTTCCGCCTTATTTGGTAAGAAAATAAATCGAGTAATCATGATCTGGAAAGCAGCGATTATTCGAAAGAAAAACTATTATTGTCAGGTGCCAGTAACGAAAAAGTTGATAATATTCTTCCTTTATAGAGTACAGTTCTTCCTCTAACACGTGTAACCAGAATCCACGTTTTGTGCGTCCTTGATAAAAGAAAAATCGATTCACCGCAAAACATCCCTGTCGTCTTTGTCTTATTTTTTGTTGCGCCTTTCTCGCAATAACGTGCCTTAACAATCCTTTGAGCATTGTGCATAAATACATACATAGATATTGAGTTACCATCTGCTAAATTTGTCTTTTTCACGTAACGCCCGTGTCTTTGTCCCTTCGGCCAAAGGTTAAGTGGCTTTAGTAACTGAGGTTCCCAGACAGTCACCCACCCTGGAATCCGTGGTGTGTCGAGTTACTTAACTTGCGTGACTTCACGAAGCGTAGTTAAGCAATACTGTTAACGACACTGGCTGCTTGGTTGGCTGGCCGTCTGTTTATGGTCAACGATAGCGCCTCAACCGCTCAGTTTTCCAAAAATTGCTACTCCTCGATTGATCGAGAAATTCTGGGCCTTGCTAATTTAAAATGGATATTTTGATTTTAGGGGACACTTGACTCGAAGCCTCCGCCACGTTTTCAAATGAGGCTTAAATTAAAAATGCATTTCAAGACTTATCAACGATTTAAAAAAAGACTCCAATTTTTTTATTAAACTTTTCCCTCAGAGTAAACTTAAAAGAATGGCGTAAATTTAATTTTATTGAATTTTCGATAAAATCGCCGATTTTTTGAAATTTGCAGAAGTTTAAATTTTTTCTGCGGTTTTTAATGCTGCAGAAAATTGATTTCGAGATTTCAACGGAAATACACGTTTAAGGGTCCAGATACCGAAAAATTGATTTTTTTCTAAACGTCCGTCTGTCTGTTCGTCCGTCCGTTCGTCCGTCCACTTGTCCGTCTTTGAACACTACTAGCGCCTAAACCATATTGATTTTTCAATTTGGATGTTCTCCAAATTGAAGAAACCCGTGTCGATCTGGGTCGAGTCGAATCTTTGAGATTTTGAAAAAAATCTTTAAAATTTGAAAGTCCAAGTCCTAAGGACATTTTCAAAATTTTCTCAAAAATAGCTCCAATTTTTTTTCTGAAAATTTCTTCTGAGAATAGAGGAAAATACACTTTATACTCTTTAAGATAACATAGAATTAATTTTGTTTTATTCATTGCTTTTTTAAATTACACAAATGTAATCTTTTGGAAAGATTTCGCAAGCCTTTAATATGCACATTTCCTGCATTTGTAAACACTATTGCATTTGTGACTTGACGTAATTGAAATGACGTCATATGAGATTTTTTTCGACAACTCAATAGTTTTCTGTGAAAAGTGGTTCAAATTTCGAATTTTCCGTAGCGCTTAAATTCTATTTTCTTAAAAACGGCTCCGAAGTTTGTAATGAAAATTGCCATTATAGCTAAGTTTTACTGTTCTTTAATGTACTTTTTTACGTAATAATTCGATTCTACTATAAGGAAGCCGAAAAACTAAGAAATTAAAAATAAAAAGACTTTAGGTGGCGATCGATGGCAGCTGGCAAGAGTTTGGGGCAAGTCCGAATAGCTGGATCACTGGAAAAAGAAAACTAATACGGAAACGTCTATGCTATTCGGTGGCACCACTTGTTTGTGAATGAAATCTGTTCTTCAACAACATCTTGAAATAATATAATGTACAATTTTTCAAAAATATTAGTAGTTTTAGCACAATTTCCCGCGAAATACAAACAGTTTCTAAACAAATATTTTGTCAGAAACTTCTCCAATTTTTTCTTTACATTTTATCATCGTATATATCAAGGATAGGTAAAAAATATTGCTAGACAATTTTTCTCGCTGTATTTTCGAAAACTACTAAAAGGTGACAATGGAAAACTAGGATTTTGAAGATATAGTGTCATATTAAAATAGGTTTTAAGAAATCAGATCTATGGAAATATCAAGTCTATTTCTTTAAACAATAGTAGATTTCGCTTGATTTCGAAACTGGTCTTATAATGCAATGCAATGATTTTTTTAACCACTCTATTTTTTCACAGAGAGATCAAAGAATGCTTAAAAATGGTGCATGTCCCATTTTGTATAAACTCTCTAAATGTTAATCGAAAGTTGCAAAAGTTAAAAATAATGCAAGAAAAAATGTTTTTTCAATCATTACTAGGTTTCAGCTACATTTAATTTTTAAAATAGTTTATAATAATGCATTAATTGTAAAAAACATATTTCAGAAACGAAAAATTATGTTTTAATAAGAGAAATTTCTTGCACTCCTCGTGCCAATAATATCAAGCTATGGTTTAGTTCAGTCATAATATCGACATTCCAAATTAAGATAACATCAGCTCTATTAGTAATATACTGGTTTTATAGAATAACAAAGTGATTTAAATATACAAATATACTGTAAAATTGTCAATATACAGTCAATTGGTTTACGCCATATATTTGTTTCTAAAGTATGTAGAAAAATATAAGAAAAATAATCAAATTAAACGAAATCATGAGAGTTAGTATTATCAAATACCTTAAGTAGACTGCGATGGCAATATTTAGTACCATAAATAAACAGTCATATTGGATAGGTTACAATGCTACTCAAAAAATTCAATTGTTTTGAGGAAGTTTACTTCTACTTACCTATCCAATATGGATTTCCCCAAGATTTCTGTTGTAATTATCGAATTTAATCTGTCAAATTATGCTGACACACCATAGTCGCCTTTGTACATCAACATGTAAGAGTAATAAACCTGCCTATCTGCTTGTTTATCTTTGTGTGTAGAAGTGGCAACTGGGGACGGTGTTTTTCCCTGACAGTCTCGGCTACCTGCTGGGCACAAATTGCTTCGGGCTGTTTGCGTACCGCCTCGGACCGTGGAAAGTCGCCGTAGCTGCTCTATTGCTGGTCGGAATTTCGGCCTTGCTGGTAAGATACTCGGACGAAGTAGCGTAACGAAATGAGTGCGGGCTCGTCCGCAAAACGTTTATCCGGGCCTCCTTTATAAAAGTGTACGGCAAACATAAGTAGTGTTGGTACCTTAAATACTATAAATATCCCCTGAAATAGGCCCTCTTTTACCCGGGCCATTACCCGGCATTGAGGGTATTGCGGGCCAGGACGTTACGCCCCTGTTCAGAATGTTTCTTTTTTAATTATTTCATTTAATAGTTGAGAAAGTTATTAACGTAACTGAAAAACTAATTACCTTGTGAGTACATAATTTTAATTGTAGTGATTTGCAGCTAGTTGGCCTGATCAGTGAACCTTTGAACGACATGACTCGTATATGCGATTGTGTATACGTCAGTAATTAAATATACATAAACAGGCAAACATTTTTAGGGCCAGTTGTATGAACACGGAATAGACTCTGGATATATTTTCTCACGTTGTTACCGCTTAAATCGATTGTACCAACTCTGGATACAGGTTAACTGAGGGTTAAATAAGGTGTTAGATCATTCCGTGATTGCGCAAGTAATTTAGTTTGTTAACAACATGTTAACTCTTGACACTGCATTTGTAGGCCGAGTAGTAGCAAAATGTGGAGTACATGGCTGAAATAAACAAAATTCTGGAGTATTTATTTTCTGACGAGAGTGAAGAAGAACAGTCTCGCTCTAGACGTCGTGGCGTAAGCATCGCATCGCTCCGCCTTATCGGCTGTGCCATATCACGGGCTGTTACGCTCAAAACATCGCCTGTTTAGTTCAAGTACAACACGGCGCCCGCTACCAGCGGCTCCCCATTTTTCTAACAGTGGTTTTCTTTTAAGTGCAATAGAATTGTTTATTGCTCATAACGAAATATTGTGGTACTCAGTGAAAGTTTAGTGGTGCAGCGAAAGCTGTATGTTCGCAACAAGTGCCCCGCTTTTGGGGGTCAATTGGTGTCAGCAGCCACGTTCTAAAATGGTGGACACGCCAGATCAGTTCACAGCAATGAATGGGAGATGTGCTTGCCATTTCCACACAAATGGAAAATATTCAACCCTTGGAACAGTTCAACACATCACAACCGCCGGATGGAGAGGCGGAAGGGACTCTGACAACTTCAGTCAGTAAGACACTAAGCATGCTTATTTTAACAGGTATGGTCTTTCCCGCAACAATCAGTAGTCAACAGTCACACCAGTGTTGTTAATTGAAACCAGAAAAGTCTAAAACGCATGCACGTAGACCTACCAGATGAAAACAATGCTTCTAAAAGAATGTACAACGTGCCCGTCAAAAATAGGTACCAAGGTTTTCAAAATATGACCGAAGAAAATTCGCTAAACGAAGGAAAGAAAGTGAAGAATCCATCATTAAAATACCTCCCTTTTATGTCCTAAAGTACTCGACTATCCCTATTTATCAGTGAACTAAAAGCTATTGACAAAAACAATTTTTCTACTAAATTAGAAAAGTCACTATAAAAATAAATTCAACTCAATAGAGGACTTTAGAGAATATCGAAAAATTCTGTGAAAAAGAGAAAATCGGAGCATCACACATATAGGGATCCTACCAAAAAACTTTTTCAGTTGTCATAAAAGATCTGCAATTACCTATTCAGAAGAGAAATATTTAACGAACTTCGAAAAACTTTCAAGTATTAAAAGTTGTGTAGACTGTTCGGAAGAGAACGTAAACCGTTAACTACCGTTGCGGTGCGTCATCTAACTGATAATGAAAATAACAAAGCAATTTAAAAATAAATCAGTTTATATACAGCATTGTCAGAGTTCAATATTCGCATAAAGTCTAAAACTCCCATCGATGTGCAAAAATTGGCAGACTTTCGGTCATACACAAGCAAATTGCGGTAGGCGACCTAGATGTGTGAGATGCGTGGTAGAAAGCCATCATTACTCGCAATGTGATAAACCTAAACATAATAATGTGCCAAAGTGTGTTAACTCGAGTGGGAGCACACGGCTAACTATAAAGGCCTGCAAAGCTTACAAAGAAGCAGTTAAACAATATACAAAATAATTGGAATCAGGTTAATCAAAAATTTTCAGCTCCAAACTGCCAATAGGCAGTTCTCCAACCACCAAGTGAATCAGAACAAGCAACCTTATCACATGCCCCTCAAGAGTTTCCTCCTCTGCCGAGCGTAATTCACGCCTTGCCTACTTTCGCTTATCCGCACTAGTCAGCCGCCTGCCAGATAACAGGAATTCTCCCCAGTCCTCCAAAATATGGAATATAATAAACGAAAACCTAATCCAAACAATTATAAATAATATTCTTTCTGCAATCATTCTCATTTACACACAATGGTTCAAAGGCTTATTTCTGTACATATACAATGGCACAAAATAAAATAGAAAACTTCAAAATTCCACTGGAATTCAATGGCGTAAAGCGCAAGAGAATGAACTAAGATATTTTCTACAAGTCACGACATAGAATGTTGCATGTGTTTTCAGAAACACATTTAAGCGGTAGAAAAATTTTAGATCCAAAATATTTATCATACCGCATGATCAAATTTCACAAATAGCATCAGGTGGGGTTGCAATTCTCATTAATAGAAAAATAAACATACACTGATACAATCCATCTCAAATGACATAGAAACAATTATATCAAAATCGACTGATCTCTTCTAACATAACTTAATTGCAGCATATAAACCTCCCAACAAAAGTTTCCATCAAATTTCTTGAAAGCATGTTTGATGGTAGATCGCAATAATATATAGCAGGAGACCTGAATTGTAAAAACCAAACTTTGGAACTGTAATACTACTTCAAATAATGGAAATTGCTTCATAAATTCGCATTGCAAAGAAATCTTAATATTCGTAGCTCTCCAAGCCCACATTATACCCTTAACCCAATGTAGTTCGATATTCTAGATATAGTTATTAACAAAATTTAAACATTCCGATTTTACAATTGTAAAACAGAATTAGACCTCAACACAATCCATAATAATTTCGTTCAAAGCTGAACTCAAGACCATACAAAAACGAAAATTATAGAGAGAAAAGAATAATTGGGACATGTATAAGAACATTCTTAAATAAACGATTCAGTATCCTAAGAATCTATAAAATCATCTGATACTAGACGTTAGTCATTAACTCTCTTCGAAAACAATTAAAAATGCTATCAAAAAGTCAGATCTTACTAAAGGTAGGAATTTCACCAAAATGCATACTCCTGACTTTCCTAAACCACTACTAAACCTGTAAATTAAAAGAAAAAACATAACCTTCGTAGAATGGGCAATATTCACGCTAACTGAAAACACTTTGTGAAACAAAAATTAAACCGCCATATCTCAGTAAAATAATTAAACCAAGAATTACAGTTAAAGTGAGGTGTCACACCATTTCCAAAACTTTTTAGGCCAGCATTTTCATGTTTGTTTACGCCACTGTAAAAGTGCACAAAGTTGTTCAGTGTTTCGCTCTCCCTTGCCTTCTTTTTTGTTTTAGACCAGACGGTATATCTGTTTCTTCTCATCACTTCCTGGAGTTACTTCTTGTTGTTTATTGATATACTTTGTTACATCCACCTTATACCAATATTTCCAGAGTCCATTTTCTTCGCTGAGTCGTTTCCCTGTTTGAATATCCGAGCGAATTCCTATAACTGAGATTTTAGCAGGAATGTGATGTTTTTTTACGTGGTCAGGGTGCTGGACCCACAGCACAACCCCCCAAACCTGGCCAAGCGACCGGAGCTTCTTATTTCAAAGGGGTTACCCATCCCTTAGGCTGATTGCTTCCACCATAGCTTAAGAGTCCAGCCTCCCCTGATCCCCCTCTTAGGGATGAATGAATTCCAAGGGTTAGTGCAAGGCCACCTTCTCCTGTCTGTTATCATGCACCATTCATACTTGGATGCTTCTCGGGTGCTTACCCGCGAAAGACCTGTCCTACTACCACTCTAAAGAAATAAGGAAGAAAGATGAGGAAAGACTCACCTAGCCCTCGACAACCTAATAGGTCGTCGCTGGTCAGAAAAAAAAACAGAGTTGGCCAAGGGAGACCATATAGAATAGATTGAAAGCATTGCTGCCACAGATAGTTAAAGATGTCACAAGGTAGATTAAGCGAACCATAACATATGAACACATCGCTTATGGGAAGGACAAAGATAGGAAAGAATGTACGATTAGATTGAGTCATGACTAGGGCCCGTGGCTTAGCGACCACGACTTTAGTCTGGCCCCTCAGTTTTGCCTGTCCGGCATGCGGATGAACCCTACAGTAGTCGATCGTAGAAAATAGTCATGCTAACCCCCCCCCCGGGGCCCGGGGCCCTTTAAAAAAAGCCCTCCACCTCACCGAAGCAACACAGCCTCCCCGCCCGCACGGACAGTGCCTACTTCAAGGCGGTTGTCCCCAGGGGAGGCAGCCATGACTTATTAATATTAAAAATGAGAAAGAATTACCTCACAATGCAATTGCAACATTTAACAGCTCTCCTATAACGCTTTGTGTGAGATTAGCATATTATCCAAAGACCTGCGAAAACTGCATATTATAATTACCACGTATGCAAGACCGAATAAAAATCCACAAGATCCTCTTGTAGCCTAACTAGACCACACTTAGTTTGTTACCGACCTTTGCCAAAATGGTTCTATAAAACTTAATAAAATCCCGACTATTCAAATTTTTTCACCGAAAACAATGACACTACCAAATACGCAGTCTCGGATTCGTCCAACCACTCCACAAGTCATCAACTATAAGGAGTAACAGAGTACATTGCTGAAGCATTTCACAACCGAATGTACACAGCTGCAATTTTTCTCGACATCGCAACATGCCTTTGATAAAGTGTGGCATCTTGTGCTTACTTTACAAGTTGGCAAACCTTAGCCGAACCCCCGATTATCTCCAAAATATCATTAAAAGCTTTCTGTTAGAGAGGGATTTTCAAAGTTAGTATAAAACAACAATAAACCAAGAGCACATATCATCAAAGCCGGGCGTGCCGCAAGTTCCCCACTTTCTTCCCTTATGGTTCAACATATATCATGTAGCGTGACTATCCACAAATGACGTTACTCTCAAAATAGCACTTTATGCAGGATGATACAGTACTTATTTAATGCAAATTCAAATATTACCAACGCTTGCAACACGATCCTCCAAGTCCGACCTTAAATGAATATTGTCGAATGGACAATGAAATGGAGAATTGCCACAAACCCTACCCAAATCACAGCCTAAAATTATTCTCACTTAGAAAAATACATCAACCACGACAAATTAAAATTAATAATACTGCAATTCCTTGGCTTAATATTGAAACGCCCGTAAAATATCTGGGTGTATTACTGAATCAAAAATTAACATGGAAAAACCAAGAAATAACGAACAAAAATCGGGCAAAAATCGAACAAAAATCGGTCAAGAAATAACGAACAAAACATACGCAAAAATGAACAAACTCTACCCCATAATTAACAACAAGTCATCGCTTAGTCTGGACTGCGCATTATCAATATTTAAAACG